GCATGCCTTCAGGATTTCAGTGCAGCTCCTCCCCACTTCAGGCCACCAGAGTTCCCTGGTGTTATTCTGGGCAAGTTTAAAGTAGGTTATATGAAAAGCCTGAGTCCAGTCATCTCTAAACTAACAGCAGAACAATGGAAAAAATGTATTTGGGTGAAGAGTACTGAATGCACGCTTCTGTACATTGGAAATGGACTGTACATGGGGATTTTCTTTTTTTTTCCACGTTGTATACCATCAAGTCAGATCTGACTGGCACATGAGATTACCCCTCCTTCTCCAGGGGAGCATCTGTGGATTTGAACTGCACGCCTTTGGGATCGCAGCTTAGCTTCTTTGCACTGGGCCACCAGAGCTCCCTTGGACTGTGCATTGGACTGAACTGTACTAAGTATTCCACAGACTGCCTAGAGAGGAAACAAGTCTATATTGGAGGAAAGTGCAACCACGGTGCTCATCAGAGGTAAGGATGGTAAAATTGCATCTCACATACTTTGTTCATGTTGTCAAGAGGGACCAGTCTTTGGAAAAGACAGCATATTGGGAAAGATGGATGATCAGAGAAAGAGTAAGACGCTCAATAAAATGTACTGACAACAGTGACTGTCCCAGTGGGCTTGAGCATGTTAGAGATTGTGGGGATGGCACAGGATAGGGCAGGGTGCTGATCTCGACTTCATAGGATCGCTATGACCTGTAGTCAACAGAAAGGCACATAACAACAATGTAATACCACTCTGGTATGATTTACAATTATGAAAATGAATGGCTTCAGCAACTCAATTAACATAATACTATTAAGTGAACTATATGAACTTTAAATATTCTTGAGAGTAACCCAAAAATACAGGCTTCTTTTGACACCAGCTCATCCTTAAGAAATGAGTGGCATAGTGGTAAGAAACTGTGCTGCAACCCCAAAGGCATGCGGTTCAAATCCACCAGCTGTTCCACAGGAGAAGCATGGGCAATCTCCTCCTGTGCGATTAACTGCCTCTGAAAACCCACTGGAGGGGTTCCAATTCGACAGTACACAGCATCCTTAAGAATCTGTTGCTCACATAACTGAGTTGCTAATAACTGAGAGAAGAACCCACAATCTAAGACTATTCTGAGCTATTCATTCACCTATGAATGTTGCTGCCAACCTGTTACATTTTTCCCCTTGAGTATGTTTGATGAACAGAATTCAATAGTTAGACAATACTAATAAATGAAAATGCTTGACCTTATAAAAATTTAATGCTGAGACAAGGTAGTCAGGTCTGCCTACTGATAACATAACAGGAGACTGAGCCCAGCTATATTTCAGACTGAGTTGCAAGTGATTTGGGTGGTACAAAGAGTTAGCATGTTCAGTTGCTAACTCCAAAGTGTGAGATTTGCTTTTACCCATAGGCAGCTCAGAAGAAAGGTCTGGTGACCCAGTTCCAGAAGAAAACAGCCATTACTACCCTGTGTAGGGAGCGCTGGTAGGCTAGTGGTAGGAAGCTGTGCTGTAATTCCTAAGGCAAATGGTTCGAGGCCACCAGCTACTCTGAGAGAAAGTGTGGGCAATCTCCTCCCATGCAATTAACTGTTTCAGAAAATCCTGCCAAAGGGTCAGCAAAGGCTCAGTTCCAGTTCTGCAGTACACAACAACTACCCTGTGTAGTACAGTTCTACTCTGATATACATGGAGTTAACATGAGTTAGAATCAACACAGAGAAAACTAGACCATGTAGCAAGTTATCAGGAAAAACAGAAGTCAAGTAGAATTTCCTGCAGTCTAGTGAAATATATAAAAACTGCATGGACTTCGAGGGCCTCCACAAGAAAAAGACTGATAACCCAATTGCAAAATGAGCAAAAGACATGGAAAGAATTTTCACAGAGGAAGACATTCGAATGGCAAACAGACACATGAAGAAATGCTCAAAATCTCTGGCAATAAAAGTGATGCAAATAAAAACCACAAAGAGGTCCACTCCAGTAACAGTGGCAAAGTTTAACAGTGCAAGAAGTAATAAATGTTGGAGAGGATGTGGTGAGAAAGGAACTCTTATACATTGTTGGTGAAATTTTAAAATGGTACAACCGTTCTGGAAGGCAGTTCGGTGTTTCCTCAAAAACCTGAACATAGAAATTCCATATGACCCAGCTATTCCACTACTTGAAATATACCTTGAGAATATGAAAACTGAGGCACAAAAGTGGATTTGTACACCAATGTCCATAGCGTTATTCATCATCACAATAACATGGAAACAGCCCAAATATCCAACCACAAATGAATGAATTGAGAAATTATGGTACATTCACACAATGAAATACTATGCAGCATGCAGGAGCAATGACTTTGTAAATTAATACCTAACTTGGGAAGGACTGGAGAGCATTATGTTGTGTGAACTAACTCAGTTCCACAAGGATAATATTGTATAAAACCATTATTGTAGAATGAGTATAAGGATCCAAGAGGCATGGAAGAGGGTAAAAACAGAGGGATGAGGTTGTGCAGGGGGAAAGGGAGATTAATCATGGAGTTGTACAATTTGATGGAGGGGTGAGGGAAATTAGAAGAATCTGTTCTTGAAAACATAATCAAATTTTGTAAATAAACCAGTATAAAAACCAAAGCAAAAAAAGCTGCATGAACTGATGGTAAATATTGTCAGAACCAAAAAGGGGACAGTAACTCCAAACTCATACAACTTTAAATAAAACTATTTTGTCTTTTAGGTACTACAATTCCCATAAAGAAAATGCCCCTTTGTACTATTGGAACATGAAGTATGTCTGAGAATGTATTACTGGTCTTTCTTCACCCTCATTTTTGATGTGTTCTTTCAGGAAATTATTTTCCAATCAGTATCTATAGATTTACATTAGGATAGAAAAGATTTTATTCTTACTCTGTATTTAGTTTAATTTTTAAAAATTATGGTTTGAATGCAAGGTACAGTGTAATTGCTTTTCCATTCAATCTTCATACAGAGTTTGTTTCATGGAATGCTTTAGAGTTCCTATAATGTAACAGCACTCTTCCAAGTTCCTCACAGTGATTCTCATTTCCCTCCAACCTTCCATCTTATCCCTTCTTGCCTTCTGAGCTTTCTCTCTGGGAAACTACTACCCTTATGTTCTTATATGGTTGATTATTTTTAAGGAGTGCCTCTCTAGTGTTATCGTTCATCTCATAAGCATTTCTATTGCTTGAAAGTTGAAACACAGCAGTGAATTTAGTTTCAGCTCAAAGATCACTGAGGGCTAGTGCCTCAGGATTTCACCAATCTTAAGTAGAAATGATTTGCTTTTCAGTTATGATTTTATTTTACTTGGTTTGTTGGGATTCATCTCTCCCTTAAAATAAGAAGTGATTGAATTGGGTCAGTTTCATCTTCAGTGAAAACTACTCATTGCATCAACTCAAAACTGATTAATAACAGATCCTCAAGTGGATTTTCAGATGTTTTAAATCAAATAAGAAGAAATTGTCCATCTTTTACTAAGAGAGCAACTGGTGGATTCAAACTTCTTGCCTTTGGATCAGCAGCACAATTCTTTAAATACCAGATCACCAGAGCTCCCTAATTTACCTTCACACCCCTTTTACTCTTAACCATGACAATCTCTATACCATCTTAGCCAATGCCTTTCCTTTTTATCTTTTCATACCAAAATAGAGGAGGAGGACAACCAGAGAACATGAAAACAGAACACACCAGAGTAGTCCAATCACAAGGTGGTTTTATTGAATTAGTTGCATGTGGAAGAAATTCTTTCCACTAGCAGCAAATGCAGGCATTAGAGTGCAGAATCCAGGGGGAGGAGAGGTGAGTGAAGTTGGGTAGGGGGCCTACAGCCTGGGGCCTAGGTGCTTGGTGGCTGACGTGCAGAGCTCCCCTGGGTCCAGGACGATCTCAGGAGAACTGGACTCCGAGCCTCATATGTGCAAAAGCAGCATTCACATCTCATTCCTCTCTGGAAGAAAGTGGGAGGGGCCGAGAAAGAGGACGGTTCAACATTCAGGGAGAGGCAGCCACCAACACTTAAAATCTTATGAAGAATAGTGTAATACATAATGTACACAAATTTTGCAAGCAAACTAAGGTAAAATTTTAAAAAGAGGGGGGAAACAAAACAAATCACTATTTGAGAAAAAGTATATTTCATAATAAATAAGGAAAAGAAAAAATAATTATCATCTAAGCAATAGCATCTTCCCACCACAAGATAAAGGTAAACAAACCAATTGCAAAATGGGTACAGGATATAACAGACACTTCATCAAAGTAGACAGACATTCAGATGGCAAACATACACATGAAGTAATGTTCAAAATCCCTAGCTCTAAGAGAGATGCAAATCAAAACAACTATGAGATATCATCTCATCCCAGTAAGAATAGCAAAATTTAACAGAACAACAAACAACAAATCCTGGTGAGGTTGTGGAGAAACTGGAACCCTTATTCACTGTTGGTGAGAGTGTAAAATGGTACAACCACTATGGAAGGCAGTATGGAGCTTTCTCAAAAAGTTGGAAATAGAAATACCATTTAACCCAACAATTCCACTACTGGGAATGTACCCTAAAAAGACCAGAACTGCCACCAAAGCAGATATATGCACACCCATGCTTATTACTACTTTGTTCACAATAGCAAAGAGTTGGAAACAACCTAAGGGTCCATCAACAAATGACTGGATAGAGAAGCTGTGGTATAATCACACAATGGAATACTATGCAGCACTGAAAAACAATGAACTATGGGTGACCCTGGAGGACATTACGCTGAGTGAAATCAGTCACAGAAGAACAAATATTGCATAATGCAACTGTTATAAAACAGGATTGACATGGTGGTTGGGGGAAACTTCCATAGGCAATTCGCAGTGGTGTGCTGGCTCCAGTCTTGGGCTCTGACTGTAGAAACAGTCATTCACTTCACACACCTCTTTTTTGTTGTTTGGATTTGTTTGTGCCCAGGAAGCCCACAGCTGTGCAGGCCCCATACTCACAGCTTCTTTTGGCGGAACTCGTCTAGGGCTTTCTTTGCCACGATCTCCATAAAATTAGGCTGATTCCAGTCAACTTCTCTGGGGACTGTCACTTTCATGGGGTCAGAATCAAAGAGCTTCACAACCACCTCAGTGTCACTGGGTTTGGAAGAATCATTCAAGTCAGTCCCTCTGGAAGTCACCTAGAAAAGGGGGAGAGGGCAGCTGAAACGTTACAGCCAAAAGGCACTTGCTCTGCAGAATCAGTTCAAACTATGATATGGAAGTTTTCTTCACTTCTTCATGAAAACCTAGGTAAGTGGCATCAGTCATGCCTATACAACTCAAAACACAGAAATTCCATAAAATTCACAGGCACTTATTTGTAGGTATAAATGTCATACACAGATGACCAGCCTAGGGGAGTAGAGAGAGTGAAAAATGGCCTTCAAGCCACCAGGCTTTATTTCCACAGTCACTGGGCAGGCGTATGATAAGAAAGAATTGTTGTTGCTATGTGCCATCAAGTTACCTGTGAAGAATTGGAAGGAAAAAAAAAATCCAGGCTCCCAGTACTGGAAGCATTTTATCACTGGCAGAAACAATGCCCAATTCATGAGTCCTTCTTCAAGGCACAGGGCAGCAAGCTTTGTGAAAAGCCTGGTAGCCAGGCAGACAAGACCAAATCTGAGTGCTGGTCATTATGAATTATTTAGCCTTTGGCAACCTCACTTACCTTTTTTCTCTGTAAAATGGGATCATCATGGGTTTCCTCCCTGAGCTAGGAAAGCTCACTGTAATAATATATGCAATCTTTTTCTGTCCCTGATATATAATATAGTTAGGCACTGACTCAATAAAACCATAAATGCCCCTGTTAATATCTTGGTCCTATTTTATCACCAAAGAAGTGTCACAGCACCTCCAGAACCCACTTTGGGCATCCTAGATGAATATTAGCCGAAAAGACAATAATAAAGTATTATTATATATGAGTGTTTAGTGTTATATGCTGTTGAGTCAGAACCAACTCATAGCTGACCCTCCAGTGGGTTTTTAGAAGCAGTAAATCACATGAGAGGAGATTACTCATCTTTCTCTCAAGGAACAGCTAGTAGATTTGAACCTCATGTCTTTGGGTTGGCAGTGCAGCTCCTTATCACTAAGCGACCAAGAAATGGTAAAACTTATTGTCACTGATTTGATTCGGATGTGTAGCCACCCTACAGAGCACAATACAACTTCACCATAGGGTTTCTGAGGCTGCAATTTTGGTAGAAGCAAAATGTCAAATCCTTCTCCCAAGGGGCAGCTGGTGAGTTTGAACCTCCAACCTTTCAGTTAGCAGCCAAGTCCTTAAGAACTGTGCCACAAAGATTTCTAAGGAATGGTGGAGAAGAAACACTAGTCACTGTTTTATAGAATCCTAACAAAAATTTTACCAAGGAAGCTGGACCTTGGCATATAGGTTCAATCTAGGTAGAGACCAGGAGAAGGCATGCTTTCAGTCTGCACTGACTGACCGAGAAGACCTGGAGATAGGCTTGGTCTTCATTTTGGGTGTGGTTAGCCAGCTGGGACATCCAGTTAAACTGCTCGTTCAGCTGGCTGAGCAGGGCAGAGGTGTTGGACATCTTCTGCTGGTAGGACTTGAGCAGGTCATCATACTCATTGGTGAATTTCTCAGCAACCTGGAGAGCAGTCTTCAGCTCCTCTCGCAGCTGGGCCTGAGCCGGATTGCTTGCAGAACAGTCTGCACAGAGATTAAAAAGGGGAGAAGATTCAGAAGGCAAATAGGAAGGAGACCATGTATGGGGTCTAAAGCACTGTTGTTCCACAAGGAAATCACCATCTACAGCAAAAGAAAGAGCTTGCTCCAGAAGGCCGATCAACCCTCTGCTTCCTCCAACAAGCAAGTCTTGTTCTGGGGGGAAAAAATACCAACAGAACCACACAATGTGCTTAGCTGTAAAGATTCTTATCTCCCCAGAAGACTGATAAGAGTGTTTTGCTTTCAGAAAGTGAAGAGGACTTACTGCAGATCAAAGATTACAGCCTCTAATGTGGATTGCACCTCAACCTAAGGAAAACAAAAATCTTCACAGCTGAGCCAATAGGCAACATTACAGTAGATGGAGGGAAAAAGCTTAAATCGTTAAGGAAGTCACTTTACCTGGATCCACAACCATGGACATCCATGAGGAAATCCAATGACATATTGCATTGGACAAATATGTTGTCAGGGACCTCTTTACATTGCTTGAAAGCAAGGATGCCACTTTGTTTTTATTATTATTATTTTTTAGATTTTAAAAAAATTTTATTTTTGTATATATACTTGCTTCTAAGATTCTAAATCTTGGAAGTTCCTAGGTCAGGTTCAAGTAAATGAAGGGCTTTTATGAGTAACTTATATTGCCTAGTCCCAAGATACACTGCAAACACAGTTTGAAACAAAATGGGGAAAAGCATCTTTCTAAAGACAGGTTTAAAAACCCTGATGCAGTGAGTTAAGATGTTTCCTTTCTCTGGTAGCAAGGCTGAATATACCTGGCTGCTAGGCCACCACTGACAGGTATAGGCAAGACAACAGGGTAAAGACCGCTGAAAACAAGACCAACCAGTCCACCCTTATAAGTTATTACACCCCTGTAACTTGTATTACAGTACAAGTTTCACAGTTCAAATAACCTGTACTCAAAGGTAAATTTACAAAACCTTTGTAAGTTAGATGTGCTGTCTTAAATGGAATAAATGCCATTGGGAAGCCAGCAGCTCTCCAAGCCTGTGTCACATTTGTTGTTGTTGATTGCCATTGAGTCGAAGTCCACTCACAGTGATTCTATGAACAAAAGACCTAATGCCTTTCCATAGCTATCATAGTTTCTCCAAGTTCATACAGTTTCCAGCGGCATGTGGTTTAGGAAGTGGATGCCACTCCTGCTTCCCAACCTGTGTTACAACTGGGAGTTCCACCAGACACTGTCTACAATGGGAAACCATTGTGGTGTTTGATATCCCTATGGCACAACGTTCAGCATCATAGCAGACCCAAGTTACCTCATACAGCACATTGACAAAGAGTGATGTGCAAAGTGGAAGAATGTTCCTCCAGATATAACAGCACAAGTCTCATTTAGCAGTGGCTAAGTGTTGTCAAGTTGAATATGACTCAGAGTAAACTTTGCACAAAAGACCTGAAATCTGTTCTATAATTAACATCATTTCTGTACATTAATAAGAGTTTGTACAGTTTCCGGAGGCATCTAGTTTAGGAAGTGGATGCCACTCTTGCTTCCCAACATGAATCAACCTGGAAGCTCATCCATCCACTCTACATAATGGGCAACCATTATGGTATTTGACATGAGTCATAAGCGACTCGATGGCACATAACAACAAGAACATGGGATAGTGTTCAGCATCACAGCAACTCCAAGTTGTTCAGCACAGCAAATTGACAAATGATTGCTCTGTCTTTAAAAGAATATTCTTCTAAAATTAATAAAAGGACCCCAGAAACTTCCCACCAAGATTGCCACCAAGATGAGACCGCCACAGATGTCAGCCAGCCAACCAACTACCAGAGACTCCAAGGCCTCAGGCCTCAGGCCAGCCTTCAGAGCTATTGCCTCATTTAAGATGTGTCAAAGACTGTTTGCTATTAGGCCACAGAGAACAGCATTAAGTCCAATATATGTCGATCCATGTTCAAGTATCTTGTTATAATTTCAATAGGTACTATGTTTTCCTTGACCATATCATCTGGGTCATGATTTTTCTTCTTGGAGCCTTATATTCCTCTTCTCTCAACAGCTGGTGTCTCCATCAGTTTTCCTCAATTACACCAGGGTACGAAACCAAGGGTGCCACTTTAAAGACCAAGAGGTGCCTGACCTAAGTCATGGTATTTTTAATTGCTTCATTTGCTTATGAAAGTTAGACAATGAAGAAGGAAGACTAAAGAAGAACTGATGTCTTTGAATTGTGGTCTTAGCAAAGAATATTGCATGTACCACAGAATGCCAAACTGGAAGGGAAGCCAGAGCGCTACTTAAAAGCAAGGACAGTGGAGGCATTGTCTCAGTAACATACTTTGGACAGTCTATCAGGAAAGGCCAGTCCTTGAAAAAGGACATAATGCTTGGAAATTGGAAAAGTAGAGGATCAGTGAATGAGAGGAAGATCCTTAAAGAAATGAACTAATACAATGACTGCAACATGGGTTTAAGTACAGAACAGAGGTTGTGAGGATGATGCCACATTGAGCAGTGATCTGTTCTGATTTACAAAGGACAGATGCAAATACAGGCACCTAGACAACACCTAACAGCAACCATCGACAATTTGCTTGAGCCTCTTATAGCACTAGTATTACTTTGCAGTGACTTCTAAAATTACAAGAATGAGGCTAGGAATATTTAACTAGACTCCCAAGGTCTGCCCCAGCAACCCCAACATATTATGTAACCACTAAACCACAAGATTGATAAGATCTTTTCAAGAGAAGCAATTAACTCTTTCTAAGTATGGGTTCCTATGTACCAGGAGGTATTCTAAATACTTTTACATCCGTTCTCTCAAAGTAAGAATTTAGTCAATGTTCAGATGTAATAAAATTGAAGGAACAGATGAAGTAAAATATTTCCCCTGTATAGAGATCCAACCAATCAGATAAATATAGCCGGGATGCTAAGTTCCCACTACCTGTTACTAGGGTGTCCAGGGGCTGCAAGAGGTCCTAGCAGGAAGGACAGCACGATGGTCAAGAGTAAATCAACAACCTGTCTGAATTCCAGCTGTCCTACTTGGGAATGAGATAATCTTGAAAAGGAATCTTTCTATAACTCAGTTTCCTCATCTGTGCAACAGAGACAGTATCTGTTCCTAGTTCATAATGTTGTTGCAAGGAAAGGAGTATGTTTCTGAAATGTTTAGAACAATACCTGTTACGTAGTATTTGCTAAACAAAATGCGTATTGTCTCTCTAAAATCCTATGACTTTCAGGGAAACATAAGGATGTCTACTACGCTTGTCCCACCACCTGCCTGTTAGTAGCTGTACAGTGGGGCCTGCACATGGCTGAGATGCTGGGGGCTACTTCATCATCACTTCAAACACCAGCAGAGTCACTCATGATGGACAGGCTTCAGCGGAGCTTTCAGACTAAAGTAGACCCTGAAGAAAGGTGTGATAATATACTTCTGGTAACTCAAACTCAACAATCATTGCCATTAAGTTGGTGTTGATCTTCCAGTGGGTTTTCAGAGGCTGGGGCAGATTGCTCATCTTTGTCTCTCAAAGTCGCTGGTGAATTTGAACTGCCTGCCTTTGAGTTGACAGTATAACTCCTTACCACTAGGCCACCAGAGCGAACCAGTGAGAACTCTATGAAGCACAAGGGGATATTATTGCCACAGTGATGGAAGGCAAGCCCAGCTGGAAGATGAGGCACTCAAAACACACAATGGCCACTGACGGACTTGAGCATCGCCCTGACTGGGAAGACGGCACCTCGCTCTGTGGGACACGAAGTCACCATGAGTCAGAACCTACGAGGTGGAAACTTGTAATAATAAGAGCTATGCTTGGGGCTTAGGAAAGGAGTAAAGAAAATCCAGGGATGAAGACTTTAACACAAAATAAGCACAGCAATGAAGCTATAGGTTATCTGCTTACTGTGTACCAAGTGATGTGCTAGCAAGCCCATGCTGTTTCAGACCACAGGGATGTGGGGACAATCCTGCATTTTAACCTCTCTAAATATTAAAAACAAAACAACCAAGCAAAACCCATTTGCTGTCAAGTAGACTCTGTACCATAGCAACCTCACGTCTCTCAGAGTAGACCTATATTTCATAATGGGTCTGTTTCCCCCTTTTTTTATCCCCGTCCTTGTGGTTCTGTGTGTTGGTTTCTTTTCCATAGGCCTTTCTTCCAATGTGCCCCTGGGTAGGCTTGAACCACCAACCTTTCAGTTAGGAGCTGAACGAGTTAACACTGGCATCCATTACAAAAGACTCCAACCCCATTGCACAGATGAGGAAGTCGGGCCGTATGAGCCTCAGCTCTTGCTCATGCTGCCCGCCACAGCCACAAAACAGAGCTGGAATCTGAACTCCCACAGCTCCCAGGGGGAAATGGAGACCCAGCGACACAGGTGACAGGGGGGAGCTTCGATCTGGCCTCTCCACATACCCACTGACAAGATCTCCCGGCACTTTGCACACTGGTTCTTCATCTTCAGGCAGCCAGTGGAGTTGCGGCGTATCTCTCGGCACACGAGGCGAGTGTCATTGTTTTCTGGAGACAGAAAAGGCAAGAGGCCATCACGATGGGAGGTTCAGCAGCACAGAGACACGTCATACCTATTTCTCTGAACCCTTCCACACTAGACTTTTCAGAGAGTTCTGTGGTCAGAACAGACTGGAATTTAGGAGGTAACCTTTGACCACAAGTCCCTGTAGAATGGCCAGGAAGTGGCCCAGGTCAGGGATTGCACAGGACAGAGTGTATGGTGCCCTGGGGACAGTGCGCCTCCAGGCTATGTTCATTGGGCTCCCTCAGCTGGGATGACCACCCTCCCACCCTCTCTATCCAACGAAGCCTCCCTTCCTCCACACACCCATAACTGTTCACACTTAAAATTGGCAGAATATATTTTGCTCTGCATTCTATCTGGTTCATTTCTCTCCTCCTAGCTAGTTAAAGCACACAGACAGCTCCATGTGCAACAAGGAGTTGGTTCCTACCCCTTCCTGTGAAGAAGAAGACATCTTTCAAACCTGTATGAAATTCGTCCATCGTGTGGTAGCGGGAGATATTTATGGCCTGCTGAGCCTGCTGTATCAGGTCAGAGAAAGACTGGAACAAGTCCTGGAAGTTCAGACGTTCATCAGTGAAGAAAGGCATCGTGTCTCGGACCACACGGGATTTCGGATAGAAGAAGTGTGTCCTCGGGAAAGTGTCATGGAAGAAGCTGAAGGGAGAGTGGAAGAAAGGCCTTGGGGGCTCGAGCCTGAAGAACCTGTTCTGGAATAACTCATCCATCACTCTGGAAAACTGGTTAAAGCCCCCCTCCATGGCATTCATTATATGGGTCTGCTGCTGATCACTCTCCAGCAAGCTGTCAACACGGTCGCCATCCATCCAGAGGTAGAAGGGAGAGGCTTGATTCAGGAACTCTTCAAGCTGTGAGAGCCAAAACAAGCCACACTTAGTAGAGACCCTTGAAGGTTACAGGCCCCAGTGTCTCCCTTTGTGAGATGGACCAAGGCTTGCGCCTCAGTGTATCTCCGTCTCCTCAAACCACATAGAAAGTGGCTAATGGCCCAGCTGGAACTGGTGTCCAGGTGTCCACACTGTCAGGTCAATGCCAATACCCTTCCATTCTCCCTCTACCAACGGAGAAGAGCTCAGAGACACACAAGTCCTGCCACTTCAGACTAGTCCACTATCACCTATGGCTAGAAGTGAGACTTACCTAGTTGGCTGAAGGTCCCTGTGCCTTCAGAGAATGGCAAATTTTATATCTGTATGCTAGCCAGCATGGTAAAATTAATTTGAGGGCCATAGGTAGAAACAAGGTCAGTTAATGTACTAAAAATACTCAAATCTCTTCTTCCTTGTGCCTGCATGAGCACAGGGCTCTGCTAGAGTTTGAAACCACCTGTTATGTTATCAAGTTAATATAACTGGTATGAATGTTTTTGCTCCATGTTTTTGTACTGAGAGCAGGCATTACTGAGTAACTTCAGGCCCATGTTTAGTCAGTCCTGAGCAATCTGGCCTGTGAGATGAAGTCTATTCACCTGAACTACTAAGCTGAGAGGAAAAATAAAGTCTACCTCTTTGCTGACTGTGGCTTCTCCGAACAATGGCCTGGGGCTGAGGTTAGAGCTGAGGAAGCATTAGTTCACACACTTACCTCAGGTCTTCCTTAGACAGCACTGCTTTAATCTCCCATAGAGGGAGACCAGAAATTAAAAGGGGACTCGGTTAAGGGTAGAGGCTGAAGTCTTCGATCTCCTAACCCCCAGTCAGAGCCCGGCTGTGCCTTTCACCTGGTGGCCAACAGCAGGGGAGCCGCTCCTGCAGATGCGAGTGTAGAACTTCATGCAGGTGTGTTTCAGACAGGGCTTACAATCCTCCCACAGGGCCATGATGGTATCATTGCACATCTCCGGGGATGCCTTCAGCTTCATTTCCGTATCCCTGGTCACCTTTAAGGCATCCTACAGGAAGACACGGCCTGGTTTAATCATTGGAAAACCACCCTCCAAGCCTAGGCAAAGTTTCCCCCAATTTCACCAACGTAGTATGTTGATCCTTACTCTTATCTGGAATAAAGTTTTCTTTCCGTTCTTTCACTCTCTCACTTGCTCATTCATTGCCCTTGAATCAGAACCAACTCATAGTAGACACTTTTGGTTTTTCAGAGGCTGTAAACCAAATGGGAGGAGACTGCACATCTTTCTCCTTTGGAGCAGTTTCCTATGTACCATGCCAGTGTTGTTGTTGTGGATTGCCATTGAGTTGAGCATAACTCACAGCGACCTTATGAACAAAAGGCCTTTCTATAACTATCATCATTTATCAAAGTTCTTAGAGTTTCCAGAGGCATGTTATTTACGAAGTGGATGCCACTAGAGTCCCCTTTTCCTTTATTTGCCTCCCTGGAACTTCCCCCTCAAACAACCATAAACATTCTCGCATCCTCCCAGTCCCAGCTGCTCCCTAAAGGCTTTTCTAACTCTTACAGCTCATATGCATCTCTCCTTTCTCTAATTTACTGCATTTGCAGTCCTAACTGCAGAATCTCTCATTATATCTAATTGTCTATTCTCAAATTCTGGTGTTTAAGTAGAGTTGTTGCATTGAGTTGATAAAGTGAGCAACCGTAGGGAGATAGGCACTCAGAATAATCGCTTGAAATAATCACTTTCTTATTTGAGGTCCAAAAGGCAGCATTTGCCCAAAGACAATATTCAGAAGGCAGGAAGAGTTAGGAAAGAAGTAATGGAAAAAGAAACACAGGGAGGAGGTAGAATGAGTGTTTTTACACTGTGAGAATTACAATCAATAACATAAAGTGTACATATATTATTGAATAAACAAGTGATCTGTTTTGTAAGCCTTCACATTTTCACTATAAAAAATTTTGAGTTTGTTTTTTGGTGGTTTGTTTATTGTGTTTTGTTGGGGTTTTTTTTAAAAAAAAAAAATCTATCCCAAGGAATTCCTGCAATAAAAGAGAAAATCCTTATGGCTAAGGATATTTGTTACAGTGCTGATTTATGGCAAAAAAAAAATACTAGAATCCACTTAAGACACTCAAAATTAGAGCTCAGGAAAACTGTAGTACAACACAAAGGATCAGTAACCGCACCATCCAAGGAATTTTTATATAAGAAACATATTATAGAATAAGTTTAATATATATGCATTTTTAGTGTTAAAAATGAATAATTTTGAATATCGCCACTGTAAAAAAAACCACACAAAAGGGGGTTAAAGCTAGTAAGAAGTGCTTCAAATGTTAATAGTGACTTGTCCTTTGGTGAAAAGGATAATGGGGAAAATCTTTTCTACTTTTCTATAGTAAAAGCTCTGTAAATGAGTGTGTTTTGAGAAAATATTGACTGTCCATACCCCAGAGCAAAGCTACACTATGAATACGTGACTCAGGGGAGCTGGAGTTCTTCACTGTCCTCTTCTTGCTCCCCCTGTTCCATGCTCAGGACAGATTCTAGATCTTTTATGGACCCAAGACTCAGTATCAACCACATACTCACTTCCTGCCTCTGTGGTCCATATAGTCCTCAACTAAGAAGTAAAGAAATCTTCCAAATTTGATATGGTTTGTAATACTCTGAGAGGTTGCCGAACAGCAAACACTGAGGGTAACTATAAAACTCTGGGAACACGAGTCAACCAAAAAAAAAAAAAAAAAAAA